TTCTGAATTAACCAATCACATTCAAACTCATGTTAAATCGAAGTCAGTACACACCTGCCATCATTTAAAGCGCCTCTGATTAACCCTCAAAAAGTTCTGCTGTTGTAGGCTTTTCCTGACATTTCTTTACAGCCATGCTCCACAGAGAGCTTCCAAATTATCAAAGGGATCTCAATCCCAAAATATATTTGTCAGAAGGGCACCGAATAATTTCCAAGGCAATAGAAATACCATTGAACACAGGGAAGACAGTCCTCATCGAGTGGAGAAAATATGACACAAAAGTGACATTACCAACAACTGGATGCCCATCTAAAATTGATGAAAGACAAGAAGTGAATTGGTCAGGTAGGCTGCCAAGAGGCCTACAGCAACATTAAAGGAGCTACAGGAATTTTCAGTGAGTACTGGCTGTGGAGTGCATGTCACAAAAATCTCCTGTATTCACATGTCTGAGTTATGGGGTAGGGTCGCACGACTGAAGCCTTTTTTTTTGTAGAAAAAAACCCATCAAAACCCGACTAAATTTAGCAAAAACACATTTAAAGTCTCCCAAAGATATGTGGGAAAATGTGTTACGGTCTGATTAACTTTTTGTTCATATTTCCATAAGGTATGTTTGGCACAAACCCAACGCTGCACATCACCAGAAGACCATACCCACAGTGAAGCATGGTGGTGGCAGCGTCATGCTTTGTGGCTGCTTTTCTTCAGCTGGGACTGGAGCCTTAGTCGAGGTGGAAGGACTTGTGAACAGTTCCAAATACCAGTTAATCTTGGCACAAAACCTTCAGGATTCTGCTAGAAAGCTGAAGATGAAGAGAAACTTTGTCTTTCAGAACAACAGCATACATCCAAATCAACAACAACAAACAACAAAAATTAAAATAAAAATGACTTCACAAGAAGAAGATTGAAGATTTGGAATGACCCAGACAGAGTCCAGACCTGAATCCCATAGAAAATCTGAGGAGGGCTGTGCAGAGATGCCCTTGCAACCTGACAGATTTGGAGCATTTTTGCAAAGAYGATAGGGCAAATATTACCAAATCAAGATATGCTATGCTATTTATATATCACAAAAACATAGAACTTACCAGGGTTGTGTAGACTTTTTTTATCCACAGTAACTTTTGTCAGTAGAGTTGTTAAAGTGGTTAAGACACAGAACTTTGGCTTGCAGCTTGATAAATGGCATCTGAACCTGTTTTTTTCCATTTTTTTCTTTTTGTCTCTTTTAATAAATCACCACAAAAGACAAATGAGTTGTCAAATTCTTGAATCCACCACTGTTTTGGAAAATCCACGACACCTATAATCCAGATAGACTAAAACAACTTCGGGCCCAACTTCTCTTGACCCATTTGAGAGAGAAAGCTTCTATCACTCAAAAATGATGCACCAGGACGAAGGGTCAGGAATGATGTACCATCATCCCTATGTGTACCAAATATGTATTGGAATGGGTACCAAAGCATGGACACCATATCCCCATTGTGAAGCCCTGTGGAACTGAATACAAGGGCAGCTAATCCGAGAATGAAGATTGTGACCATCCAGACATGTATGACCTTCACCCCTTGACAAGGCAAAGTAGAAGAAGAAGATGATGATGAATTCTTGTGTGTTAGCAATTTGCTACTACAAGGTACATCAGACAGCAGTGGTTGAACGGCTGTGAGATAAAGTTAGGGAGGCCAATCTGTGAGATGTTTGCTCTGCTAGATGATGTGAATGCAGCACTACTAAATATTCCTACTGACACCATAACAGAGATTGATTAATAACCTGGTAAAGTCACAGCAATGCTAAAAGATCAAACCTGCAACTAATATAATAAGGAGCATTGTCTCCCTTGGAGGAGGAGAGTGGAGGCAACAYGAAGAAAAATCAGCCAGCTGTCAGAGCACCAGTATGGTGCAAGAAAGAAAAATCCACCATGTAAATATTAGTAGTGGCAGTGCTGCTGTGATTCGAAAAAAAAAAAAAACTCTCAACCTATTAGTGCCTTCAGATACACGTTCTTCTATTTTTTATTTGTGAAAGATTCCAAGTTCAAAAAGTGAACAATAATCCTGAAAATATTATTCTGTTTCAGTTTTCACCCATTAAATCAATTTTTCTCTGTGCTCTCGACTCCTGATTCTCACCAGGGTTGCACAGCTGGCTGCAGTCCACAGAAACGACTTTGCTGATTCAGTTAAATTTAATTTCCTTGTCTCTTGTGTTGCCATTCGCTGTCATCCCAACCTTTTCTCCTCCAGATCAGTGCTGTACAATCAACTTCTTTTTTTTTTATCTCATAAACATTCTGTCTATATGTATATATGTGTGTATAT